AAAATATTCAATTATAAGGATATTTTCCAAATATTTCTGACAGATTGATGCCACATAATAATGATTGAAATGTATTAATCTCACGCTGGAGAAACTCACTTCTGCATTTAACCTATCCCATTGTGGAGCAGTGGGCTGCCAATATGCAGCACCTGGGGAGCAGCGTAGGTTTAAGGGTCTTGCTCAGGGAGCCAGAGTGGAAGTCTGCAGAACTGGGACTTGAACTCAGAACCTCTGCAGGCCAAGTGCAACGCCCTAACCACTAAGCCACCACTCCCCACTCCCAACTATCATCCAGTGAGGGAATACACAAATACAGCGAGGGAATACACAAATACAAAAAAAAGTATATGTATTTGCAAAACATATATATATATATATATATATATATATATATATATATATATATATATATATATATATATTTCCAAATTAAGGAACAGAAATTTACCTTTTTAAAGTAAAGTAAGAAAACTTTTAGTTCTAAAAGGAAACCAGTGGATCCCAAAAGAATAAACATTAAGTTTCAACAAGTAACCAGTAAGTTTCCTCAAACACATTTACTGTTAGTTGATGAGAATGCTACCAGTAAGTTATAAAGAAGTAGCTATGCCTTCCACATAAGTAACCTGTAAATAACTGGAGAAATGCCTTCAAGTTTCCAAGAGACTAAAGTGTACATTTTGGAAATTTCCCTATAGGTTTACAGAAAATAAACTGAGATCTTCTGAGAAATTAACCAACATTTATCTGGTAGAGGAACCTGTAGGTTTAGAGAAGTAAAAAAAAGAAAGTTATGGTAGATTTAAGATAATGATCTTATGGTTTTAAAAATAAGTATCATCCTTTCCCAGAGATGGCATCTATTCATAGCGAGGAGGCAGCTTAGGTTTCCACTGATTTGAAAACATCTGCTGTGATCAGATTCATTTCTCAAAGTGCGATTGTGAGATAAAAAGCTGCAAAGCTGTTAACTATGCCGCTCTAAAAATGACATTTTAAAGGATGTCCAAATACATTTTTAAACAGGCCAATCTTAAAAAACATGATGCGTAAATTACACAGATGCTGTGTCAGAAGGCTGACCAGAGATAAACAGGAAATACATGCATGACCTTTAAACAACAACAAGCTTGAAATGTTGCATGATCTAAGAAAGAAGAAATAGCAGAAACCATATATCTGCAAACACAAGAAGGCATTTAAGCGGTTTCTGAAGGAAGAGAGAGATATTACTGCAGTAAACATCTATGGTCCAAACCTTTCTGTAGAAAATGGTTGAAAGGAAATGCAGAGAATTTTCAATTAGGATGTTTATCATGTTAAAAATGAACTCAACTACTGGGTTTGAGATATTTTCAAATTTCCACACACCTAATAGTAATAAGAACAAATAATAAATGTGATTTTTCTTTCCTTTAAACCTAATGTAACATTTCTATTCCAAACATTTCATTAGAAATAAAATCCGGGCTTTACAGACTTTCCTAAAAACACCTGGCTGATGGCTGATCGAAACTAAATAGACCCGCAGTGTTACAGCGCCTGACTGCTGGCTCCCATAGCAACCATTCACTGATTGGTCAGGTGGGTCTTAGCAAAAAACAAGAAGGGCGACCGAGTGATGGGTGAGAAAAGCAGAAAAAGAGATAAGATTGGAGAGTAAAATATAGCAAAGGATGGACTTTAAATGATAAGTCTCATAAGCTGTTAAAGGAAAGCTGTAAATCTTCCATTAGAATAAGTAATGGGATTTATTTTAATCAGATGTATAAATAATATCAGAGAGAGCCATGCCAATAACTGATTCATGAGTGCCTCTGAAACTGTGCCAAAAAGCTGCTACTTGATGCCATTTCTTAAGGTTCATGATGCACTGGAGCAAATAAAAACAAAAACAAAAGCAAACCAATAGGTTTATAAATAATATAATTGAATTAATAAATAATATAATTGAATTAATAAATTCAAAAAGTAAAAAAAAAAACGTATTTAATTTTTTTCTTTGTTTTTTATTTTTATTTTTTTTTTATTTTTAATTTAGCACAAACTCCTCTTCATTTTTGTTTTCTTCAACATTTTAGTCAGCATTCGGCACAATAGCTGCTGAATTAGATGAACAATATGGCCGCATGTTTAGACTAATTATTAGGGATGGTACATAAAGCACAATGTTGGCTTTCCCACTGAGAAAAAGGGGGTTTTATAGTTAAAGGGAACTCTAGAAAGCATTTAAATGGAAACATTTACATACATACTTCTATGTCCTAATGTTGTTTATATGCAGCCTCCCTGGTAATGATGTGTAAAATGTAATCATTTACACAGCTGGGCTTAATTGGAGTCTAAAGAAAGTCAAACTTTTTAGAAAAAAATCCAACAAATGCCATAATTATCAGCATCTCTAACACCTTTAAACAAATGCAACCAAAGCAGTCTTATAACTTATGCTTTACCATTATAAGTAGATTGCACTCTTTATATTTCTAAATAAGTTAAACTTTCACTTACTCTTAGACAAAATAACTTCCCTTCAAATAAGGCCAAGGGAGTATGCTAATAAGTCAGGACTCTCACTAGATGGAGCAATAAAGAAAACATTTAAAATGACTACTGCTGTGAATAATAAGGCTAAACACACAAATGTTGATGGTGGAG